TTTTCGCATCCTTCACACTCTTTTGTCAGCTTCTTCATCATTTCTCTCCGGCAGAGTTCGACATAAAAAAACTCAAGGACGTGTCGAATCTTGGCTCTGGCATTCATCTCCACTTCATCACTGACAATCATAACCACTGCATTGTCGACACAAGAGATACTTTGAGCTATCGTACTGGACATCTTGATGTCGATATTCACCATCAACTTGCTCGTGAATATTCCAAAGTGGACAGCGATAAGAATCCTGCACCCAGCAAAAGATCAGAGGAATAATCGTAAGCAGCATGAGCAGCCACCACATGAGAAATGATTGTTGTAGTCGAGTGCTGGGGTTCTTATATATTTCTAAACAATTGCTGATGTCATCGGAGAACGCCATTTAATATATGCCTATGATCTTGACGGTGCCTTTGACTTTCTTCTGTAGATCAGGACGTGAGGAGATTGGGTTGCTCCGCAACCATGATTCGAGTCCAATTTTTGTGGTATAGGATAATCTAAATGGTGACATGTTCGCCATAATTTTATCATTTACTACTTTAAGGATCACATTCTTTAGGACCAAGTCAAAATTGATTTCTATCTTTTCATCTTCCGTTAGCATCAGACACTCGCTGTTACTAGTTTTATCTTTACAGCCACAACACTGATTTTCATCAATTTGGTGGAGCTGTTTACACACTTCAGATGCGWAAGTCAAAATAAGTTGCTTTTCGGCAAGTGTGAAGGGGTCCATGATTTTGAGCAAATGATCGAGAGCTTGAATGGATCACGCTCTTTATATCTAATACCGCTCATAATTTAGCGCGCGCAGTGTTTTGGGGAGTGTGGAACTCTTTTCAATAGTTGATTAATGAAGAAACACTTTTGTTTGAGATTTCAAAGAATTTTATTACAATATATGACTATTAGAGTACACGGCATGATAGTTAATAGTTTAATTGTTCAAAGTTCTCAAATTCTCTGAATGCCATGCAATGGGTTGGGCATTTTTATCCGTACACTTTTTGTGGAGAAACAATGCCTTGCGGATGTCTTTTTCGGGACTAGTGAAAGTTTCTCCAGTCTTGAGAATCCTGTATTGGTAGCTGGGGCTTGAAAACATGGAAAAATTGCATACCCTGAGAAACAGTTTTCTCACAGTACGCCCACCATCAATCTCGGGGATGTAGCAGCATCTTGATTTGGAGTATTGGAAGAATACATCCCACGATATGATAATGGGATGGTTGTCAAACAAAGGATTGATGGTCTGGGATGCCAAGTCACTAGCCAGCTCTTGGAGGTAGATTTTCTTGTCAGATACTGAGAAGGCATGACTCTTAACGTGGTTTATTTCCTGCATCAGTTTTATCATTTTTCCACTGTCGTTATTATCGTAAAGTTCGTGGAGGTAGTTTCTCAGGAAAGGTTTTAAGTACTCGAGGTTTTCTGAACCATGTTCATACTTCATGAAAGAGTCGAAAGCTTGCAGTAGTGTCAGTAAGGGAAGTTCTCTTTGCATACGAAACCAGACTTTCTGAAAGGTCTTTTGCCAGGAGGACTCGTCTGCTTCCCAATGGATTAGTTCATCAAGAGTGACCTTTCTTCCCTTGGTTCTTTCAATCTCGTCAATCCTTTCTTTGTTGGCAATGTCTTCACAGCATCTATAGAATAAAAATCTGAAAAATGTCTGAAGCTCCCTGATCCTCCCTGCTTCATCCTGGTGTTTCTCAAGTTTTATGTTTTCCATTTGTTTCACGAGATTTGCTATTGCTTTTTGTCCTGTTCTGCGTTTGAACAGCACAGGGTTAAGAATACGGCCACTTCTCAACTTCATGGCTTAAACTTCGTTTCGTCGTTACTGTCCTAAGGAGCTTAGTAGGATTGATGAGACTTCAAACTCGCAATCCCTTTTCATAGACTATATCTTATGACGTACCGGTTTTGGGCATGTCATACACAATAGTAGAAACCCTAGCCAATCGCTGGAATGAACGAGCAGTAGAGTGGGGTTTGGGGTCGAGCACCGCATGGCACCGGCACCGCATGTTGGTGAACTCTCATTTCCCTACTACTCAAAGAGTCACTGAAAAGAATAATAAATATTCCAAGCCACTTATTCTGATTGGTCCTTCTACAAATAACGTGCTTTCGTTTTGCTACTTTTCCAAATAGATGAAAAAACCAAGATAAAAACCAAATATCACTGTGGAAATGTTTCACTGATTTTGATATATGTATTAAACACCTCAAACAACTCGTCACAAACAGCTAATTAAATGTCGAGACATAACAGTCCAATAGCAAAACTTGTAAGGATGAGTATGACGTCATCTTAACAAACCAATCACCGTTTGCGATGGTTCAGCCAACATCAGGGTCTTCTCCCAGACGACCGCCGGCCATGATTTGGAGTCGGCCGAGGGGAACCTGGGGACGAGGGTGGGACTATTGAGACATGATGGATTGCCGAGGGGGCAACTATTTGAACATTTATAGATTACACAGCTGTCATGGTGTCTTTTCATATACAACACGCTGCTTTTCAATAAGAAGCACATACAGAAAGCAATTGAATATGCTGCACCAAGACTTCAAATTATTTGAAAACGTGACCCCGCTACTGTATGCTTTAGAGTGCATTCAGTCAAACTGTTGAATAGTTCGATAAATGTATCTAACTTAGATAATTATTTAGTTGACGTCACCTAAAACAGTAAAAGCGCGCCAAATAACGGTCATGCTAATCCGAGGATTGTTTTACCAGAGAATGAGTGAATAGACATTCATTTGTATCATAGTTTCTCCCCCTGATCTCAGTAGCTGTTTACTCGTAGTTTCAAATTTAGGTGACGTCAACTAAAATAGTAAATAACTTATCTAATTTAGTTGACGTCAGCTATTCAACACTGACTGAATGCACTCTATATGCCCGGCAGTTATGTTTATTAATATTTATAACGCTTTGTTTGCTACGTCGTCGATTTCAGCGGTAAACTCACGGTGGATAAAAGAGCATGGCTCCATACGATCAGTTTGCGATCGTTCTCGATGATGAAGACACGTTTTATCATCCAGGAGATGAGGTTAAAGGGAGGATATTTCTAAAATTGAGTAAATCTATGATGATTGTGCGCATTGTTGTTGGTTTTCATGGCGAGGGACGTGTAAAGTATAATGATGAGTACTTCATCCAGCCATACTTCCATGACCACGCTGTCGTCTACGATTGCAACAATGAAAGTAAGACTCGATTCTTCACACGCACGAATTTCCTTAAAGTCATTAAATTGCATTTAGTTATTACACTGCTGAATACTAAGATAACTTACATCAGTTCAGTTAAATAACTTATTAGATAACTATTTAGTTGACCTAACAGGTATCAAGTATAGCAGTCAAAAATTAACGCTAGGCGTCCGTAATTTAAAAAATCATGCCAATATACTAAAGACGAAATTGGGAGCAATCAGAAAAAATATCAAGAAGCAAACCAAGAAGACAAGCTCAACAAGCTCAAAGTAAAATAAATTAAACCATTGACCTTCGCACTTCGTAACAACTACATGTTCTACACCATTCCAGAAGATGATGGTGAAACTGCACATTTCCCAAATAAATGAGGTCATTAAAAAGATTGCATTGGATTCCTATAAAATAGAGAGTGATATATAGCTCATAGAGTAGGAAAGAAATATGGCTCGACCGCGACCTACCGTAGCTAAATTCTTTCGTTAGCAAGATCCAGAGCAGACACGTACTTCCGCATAACTTAATAAGTAAGAGTTAATTACCGAGAACAGAGGCAATAAGCCAAGTACATGTATAGGCTTATTGCCGACGTTCGAGGTAATTAAGTATTTTATTTCTCAATTGAGAAGGTTTTCTATCAAATGTTGCTCATTATGAATGCGAACGGTCTATATATAGTTATTAACCGGGTTTATAACTATATATTGACCTCGCATTTATAATGAGGGTTATAAAAATAATAAAGTTTTGTGAATAACAAAGAAAACCGTGTCAATTGAGAAATAACTATATATAGACTTTCGCATTCATAATGAGCAACATTTGATAGAAAAACTTCTCAATTTAGAAATAAAATACTTAATTACCTCGAACGTCGGCAATAAGCCTATACATGTATTTGGCTTATTGCCTCTGTTCTCGGTAATTAACTCTTACTTATTAACCGGGTTAATAACTATAGATTTACCTTGCATTTATAATGAGGGTTATAACAAAAATAAAGCCTTGTGAATAACAAAGAAAACCGTGTCAATTGAGAAATAAATACGAATAATATAGTCGTTAACTGAGTTAAGTGACCTATACATAGTAGAAGATAGTAGTTATCTGTTATTTTTCTTTTTTCTTTTTTCAATATTTCAATATTCTTCGGGATCTTTTTTTTAAAACATTCTAATAGCTACCATATACTTCAATAAAGTTAGTCACCTGAAAAGCTATAAAGCTGAGGCCGACAAGAATTATGGGTAGATACATTTTACATGTTTCAACCGCTTGATAACTGTTGATGGACTTGAGATCTTTTACCAGTTATAGTCTCGCCTCTTCTGAACGTCCTCAAACTGCAGTTTATCAAAAAAAAGCTTTATTTGTTTGAAATAAATTGTTTCCCATGATCTTCAGTGATCTCAGCTTTCTAGGTTTTTGGTGACTAACTTTATTGAAATAGGCATATGTTTATTGATGGGTTGCAAGCATTCCCAAGAGAGTTGAAAGACAAAACCATATCCGCCATTATGGTACCGTTAACAATGGATGCTAATGAGAAATCTTTTGTTAAATGGTACCAACATGGCCGCGATGACGTATTAACGTGCAAACGAAGAATACAACGTATGTATTACTTGTGACAATCACATCCCTGACATACAGTGTTCAGTGATTTTTTCTTCATTTGATGGCTTTACACAGGCCGCCGAGAACAAACTCACTGAAGTCCAAACAAGCTCGGCCTGAGACAAGATACAAATAACATATTACAGTTTAAAGTGCCTATCACCCTTCTGACAATATTCTCAGTATTGATTCTACATGGGGTAAGATGTTGAATAACCCGAAAAAAATTCATAGTTTGAGTGCGGCTTCTTGAAGTTATAAAGGTTTTTCCATGTCATATGCTAATGCTGTGACGTATGAGGAGGCATTTATGGTTATTTGTTGTTCCTTGTAATTCGAAACACCGGCTTCTATGTGAAAACTAACAATATAATTTATCTGTGCCAGTAATGTTTTGTATATTAAATGATGACTCTTCATGCGTCACAACATTAGCATATGGCATGGAAAAACCTTTTAAGCTTCAAGAAGCTGCACTTAAACTATGCAATTTTGTAGTGCTGTTCAACATCTTACCCCATGTAGAATCAATACTGAGAATATTGTCAGAAGGGTGATAGGCACTTCAAAGTATAAAGATAAATAAATAAATAAAATAAATAAATAAATAATAAATAAAAAAATTAAAATCAATCCAAATCCAAATCAAAATCCCTATCATGCAAATAGATTGTGGTTACATCTTGATTATATCCCTCCAAATATGACTTTGAGTGCTATCCAGCGTACTAACATTTCCACATACTTTATCCGTTCGTCCGTCCGTCCGTCCGTCCGTCCATCTGTCCGTCCGTCCGTCCATCTGTCCGTCCGTCCGTCCGTCCTTTCTGTGCTTCCCTCCTAACTTTCAAACTGTTAAAGAAATTTTAATTTGTTTTAACAGAAAGTCCTTTGAAAATAAATGGTCCTTTTGAGGATTCATTTTGATGAGAAAAATTTATTGAATAATTTATTGTTATGATGTTATTTCCCCATATCAGATGTTCACCATCAACTGCAAGGCTCTTTCCCTCCAGGTGATTTCTGGTTCCCATTTGCCTTCAGATTGCCGCCTGTTAAGATACAGTCATCATACCTTGACCTCACTGGAGCCGTGTGCTATTGGCTTGACGCAGTAATTGAAAGATCTATATGGCCTAATGAAGAGACTACTATTCCAATCTTTGTGTTGGAGCTAGTGGATGTCAACAGTCCAGAAGTGCAGGTAAAAATATAGGATACGCGATATATTTTTTAAGATGACTGTTCTTGTTCATATAACATGTGCAAAGGAAATATCAGATGCCACATCATAAGAATACGCTTTGTTTTATTGTTTTTGTGCCGGCAGAAAGCGTAGCCTATTCGCTAGACAAAAACGACCAAATCGTAACCCTTTCCCAGACAAAAATGATACCCTATACCAGACAAAATGTCAAAAAATGATACCCTACCCCAGACCCAAAAGCCGAAAAACCATACCCTATAGGGCGGCACATAC